AAATAGCTAATTTCTCTTTACACTTTTACTGGATATACTGTACATGTTAATCTTTATTATCAAATATATTTGTGAAGGTGAATATTAATTTCTGGGCAGGTCTGTATGGGTCCCTGCAAAGTCATTTTTGTTTTATGGTTTTCTTGTCACATGACAGCTAAATCAATAAGAAATAATATATGTATTAATTAGACTATACTCTTCTTTTTTATGGTCTAATGTATCATACAAGATTTCTCATTTATTGTCTGTATGAATAACATAACATAAAAAAAATAAAAATAAAGTAGTAGATCTGGAAACAAAAAATAAGAGTCACGTAAGTGACCCATGGAGATATTTGATGGATGAACGAAAGAGTCACATTGCGTCATTGGTCAATCGTGGGTGACTGAGTTATACGTTATGTACGAATGAAGGAGACAGTCAGTCAATTTTTTCTAGTTAACCTCTTTGTGTCCCTGTCAGTGTGCATTCTGTCTGTGTAATGAAGAGTAGTTTGTAGCGGTATTGTTGGTTTTGAAAAGGCACTCCAGAAACGGCTGCCTCTTCTCTGGGTTAATTGCTTGAGGTTACATTTCACAAGGCCCATTAATGAAGGCCGACTATGTGCCTTCAGGACTGCATTCTCTTTATAGAGACCCAAACAGTTCACGTATGCTTATTTTGCTTCATTCAGATAGCTTTGACTCAAGACGAGTAGACTTGCATACTGTGCTAGCACACAAAAACACTCCGCACACTTTCTGCTTCTCTCTTTTTTTCCCATCAGCCGCACGCACTTGGCATCCACCGCTAAAGTTTTGAGAGAGTGTTTTTGCAGCCTTGGCAAGTGTGTGTGTGTGTGTGGGTGGTTGTAATCTGGTAACGAGCGTTGAAGAGCTCAGGATGGCCTTGAGTGTGCAAGAGTACCACACATAGAAGACGACAGACAAGCAAACAAAGGCTGGTGTCAGAGTCAGGTGATGAAGGATATCATTTTAGTGACCACACACACACACACACACAGGACAGCTCAACACAAGCTCAGAGGCAAACTATACACAGAAATAAACCAACATTCGCACTAGACACTGTGCAACTCCAGTAAAAAGGGTTGTACGCAAAACAGAAAAGCAGTTGACTATACATCCAAATAACGTTCTTGATGCTAGCGATCACTGATTAAAGGGTTCATTAATTCTGTCAGATTATTTCAAACCTGCATTTCATCCTTCCAAAAAAACACAGAGGGATTTCATTTTGTGTTTAATTTAGCTATGTTTGCATAATTTGACAAATCAATTACAAATTTGGTCTGAACTTTTCACCAAAGCAGTGGTTCTCATTCCCTGTGCTGGCTCCACACTGCTCTGCACATTTCATATGTCTCTCTTATCTAACACACCTGATTCAGGGTGAGTCAACATTATTTTTGGTCTGTTTTCCTAGAGAAGAAAGACTTCATTTGAAATATAGTGTTACATTTACAAGCTAAAACTTTTAGTGACACTTTCTATGAAGTCTGTATTTTAAATAATTGATATGGGTATTCCTAATGCATTATAATACATTCATAACGCCAGATAAAACAAAAACACTTGTAATGCATTATAACTATGGGAACTATAATCCATAAGTGTGTATAATGTTTGTTATAATGTATAATACTCTCAGAAGTTAAAACCACAGATAGGTAAGTATTAATGTATTATAACTGTTGTTACAATTATTCATGAGATGATGATAATACCGTGTATTTTTTATAAGGTATGCATGCATTATATAAATACAGGATTGAACATGGATTAGAAAAAAATAGAAATCTATCTATCTATCTATCTATCTATCTATCTATCTATCTATCTATCTATCTATCTATCTATCTATCTATCTATCTATCTATCTATCTATCTATCTATCTATCTATCTATCTATCTATCTATCTGTCTGTCTGTCTGTCTGTCTGTCTGTCTGTCTGTCTGTCTGTCTATCTATCTATCTATCTATCTATCTATCTATCTATCTATCTATCTATCTATCTGTCTGTCTGTCTGTCTGTCTGTCTATATCTATCTATCTATCTATCTATCTATCTATCTATCTATCTATCTGTCTGTCTGTCTGTCTGTCTGTCTGTCTGTCTGTCTGTCTGTCTATCTATCTATCTATCTATCTATCTATCTATCTATCTATCTATCTATCTATCTGTATCTATCTATCTATCTATCTATCTATCTATCTATCTATCTATCTATCTATCTATCTATCTATCTATCTATCTATCTATCTGTCTGTCTGTCTGTCTGTCTGTCTGTCTGTCTGTCTGTCTGTCTCTATCTGTCTGTCTGTCTGTCTGTCTCTATCTATCTATCTATCTATATATCTGTATATTATATATTATATTATATCTATCTATTTCTAAATTATTTCTTTATGTGTTTATTTATTTGTTGTTTACTGTCAGCATCCAATCTAGTTTCCTACAGGCGTGCTTCTAATTATACAGAAGCATGATTAATTAAGCTCATAATAAAACAAAGACGATTTTGTCTCTCTTACAGTTCTCCTTTCTCCCACTCCATCTCCCTCTTTCTCTTTTTTTCTGTCGTTAATCTGCGTCTGCCGGGGTGATGGAGAGCCTCCCACGGCTCGCTCTTTAATTAAGAGTGGTGTAAACAACAATGGCTGTCGTGTAGCCCACGTGGCGTGAACACAGACATGAATGCGTGCCGTAAAGCGGCTTGCAGAGAGGCTTTCAGAGAGTTAGTCTGGACCTGCCAAAAGCCAGGAGTTTTAGTTAGGCCGGGGGCCTGTCATGCTTTTAATGCAGACACAATGCTGAACGAGGTGGGAAAACAACATAGGATCGATATTTATTATTATACCAATATCTGCCATACTGGCACTTTTATATGGCGGCTGAATGCAATATATATTTGTCATTCCTGTGATGTATAATCAGATTGTCTGCACTGATTTTTGGGAATAAATTCTGTGGAATGCTTTTTGAATATGATCAAATTTGCTGAAAGTATTACACTTTTATTGGTAGCTCATGAACCTAAGTATTTAAAGGTGCAGTGTGCTATTTTTTATGATAAAATGCTTTCTCCTATCTCACTTACTGTAATATGAAGAGACAACTATAAACATGCCATTCATAGATTTATTTACAAAAGTGTAAATACTGCAACTCTGGGGCTAACCAAACATTGTTCTAAATCAAGGATCAACTGAAATCTGCTCACATATGTGAAGGCTATTGAATCATTGAGGGTAAACATCATATTATGAGAATTTGCATTACTTTACGGAAAACTTACAAGCCTGTCGGTCAACATCGGGCAGTGGTTGAGCATCCGTCAGCTCAGTTTTTTACGGTGTGTTCCGCACCGTCGGCACTAGTCAGACCTCGTCTGTGGCTTTTTAGCTGATGGAGCATGTTGAATCTGCGTTGGGCAGACTGATGACAGTGAGACAGATCACTCTTATTGACTCTTCAGCTTAACGAACCAGTGCACGAGAAGAAAAGCAAAAGTGATGATTGTACGTGCTGGTTGGCCGTTGGCTATAGTCATTGCGAGGGCAACTTTTTGGCTGAGAAGCATGCGACGCGATGTGTTTAGGTTCTGCCATATATTACTCACTCTCATGTCGTTCCAAACCCATATAACTTTCACTCATCTTCGAAACACAAATGAAGGTGTTTTAATGTCCCTCAATTGAAAGTCTATACACCCAAAACTGATCGTAAAATAAATCAATACCAATCAAGCGGTTTGATCCAATGCTGCATGTGTTCCAAATCGCCCCCATACCATCGGTCTATTCCCTACATTACCCCACTAAAATAGTCCACTTGAATGAGTGAATGAAAACGAGTGAGTGAATTCAGACACTGAATGCGGTGGAAGGGCTGCTGCTTTTGCATATTTTGTGCTTGCTGAATAATAATCATTTGAAACTTAGCAAACTAGCAGCTCCAGTAGTAAAATGAAAAGATGTATCTTGAAGTCTGTAATGGAAACTAGCATGTATAAACCTTTCTAAACAATTTGATAATCAATTAAAAAGGAATTTATACCTGTATGATATTACGCTGTACCCACATTGGACTAAAATGGATGGATGGATGATTCAGCTGCGGGAGCCATCTTCTGGTCAGATGTGGAAATTAATTTGACGCACGACCCTCACAGTGCATTATGGGTATTCTTTAGACGTTGAGCAGACATCGGTTGTACACTCGTTATTGCGATGCCTTCTGGGATTGAATGAGTGCACTTGATACGTCCACTATGGTTTTGGACACCACTAAAATGGCTGTCCCATCAAATAGTGCCCTGTATAGGGGGGGATTTCGGACACAGCCCAGGTTTTATGAAGAGACACAGTCACTTTATATAACGAACAGATTTAATTTAGGCTTTTTTGCATGTATAAACATTGATCAACTCACATGGATATAGCGCTTACATATGCTACGATCTTTTTATAATAATATAGGTAATATATATAATAATAATAATATTTCATTAAAAATATATTCATTTGTCTTCCAAAGATGAACAAACGCCTTATTTGTTTGGAACGGCATGAGGGCGAGTAAATGATGACAGAATTTTCATTTTTGGATGAACTATCCCTTTAAGAAGAAATGGTGCAACCGAATAAAGTACAAAGTTATCCTCAAACTAGCTAGTAGCTAAGCCTGTCACCTGGACTTGGACTTCACATTGTATAGTTGTAAGAACTAATATAATATATAGCACAAAATGACTGACAGGCTTTCTTAGCTTACAGATTGGTCCCCTGCCAAGTCTAGAGCTGTCACGTACGCCTATGTCAGTGATATCTGTCAGGTAGTGGGGACATTTTATGCATGGTACTCCTAAAAATGTAGAAACCAACATGCAAGGGGCAGTGGATGTGTAGAGCTCTATGATCGACAGGTCAGATTCTGCCATGGGCCTGTGCATTACTAACAAATTACCTCTCTCTTTCTCTCTCTCCTCCAGAAGAAAGGATGCTGCAGGAGACCAGTGTGAGAGTAAGCCCAACCTGATCTCTCCGTCCACTCCCCTGCCCAGTCCTCCACAATCCCAGGATGCTCTGCCCCTGCCGAGGGAAGCTGAAGTTGCTGGTGGTGTCTCTGAGTTTCGTCATCCTGTTCACCTGGCTTTACCTGCTCGTGGGGAACTCGGAAAGTGAGTATCAAGGCACTTATCATCAGATCTTCCGATTTCTGGAAAGAAGCGATCTCTATGATGCCCATTTTCTGTTTTCTGATGTAAAGGCTGGATCGACAAAGAGTTTTCCCCTTTAAGCTGGGTTGACTTGGGTGTTGAGACTGTCAGTCAGTATTATCTCGGTCTGTGTGCTAAAATCCTCATCTGATGGGTCTGTCATCCTCAGAGATGCACAATAACACTGCGGAGTGCTGATAACAGAACCGATCTGCAGCCAGATCTCAGAAAGCCAATCATTATAAAAGCTCGTTTCTCCTGCACTCGATCTGGCACGTGAATATATCTATCTCTATCTGCGATAATGAGAAAGATCCCACGTATGCACACATTGGCGTATGCGGTGCACAGAAATGGAGATTATCAAAACATCAGAGTCAAACATATTCATAAGACTGAAAGAGTTTGAGAAGACTTGTCAGTTCCTCTAAAAAATCCCGCCAGAGATGTATTTCTGCACCAGTTTGTGGGTCATTCTTTGAAACGATTTTAAACATTCTTTTGAAGAATGCCTTGAAGTGTTAATAAATTGCACTGAATTGTTCCATATCAAGTTGAATTAATATTTAAGCAGTAAAGTATGAGTGCCTGAAACCCCTTCAGCTGTGACTGTATTCACAATAAAACATGGCCTGTACAAAAGTGGCACTTTTCAAAGTGGTACAATAAGCACTACTTATGAAATATATTAAAGGTGGGGTATGTGATTTTCTTTTTTGACCATTTTTTCAAAATCACTTGAAATCCTATTCCTAACCCACTTACAGCCACTGAGTTAGAAGCACTGAAAGCGCTCGAAAAACTCCAGCCAATCATTTCCAAGACCACCTAGAATCATTGGACAGTCAGTGTACAATCAAACGGTCGTACCATCCCCCCTCCCCCTCGCGCGTGTCCCCTTCGTGCGCATACTCAAAGCTCGTGACGCAGTCACAGTAAGTGCAAGTCTCCCCGGTACAGAGAGAGAGAGAGTGCAATCTCGCGCATCTGACATCTGATGCATGATTGCGCGTCCATGTTTCTTCGAATGGGTGGAGGCAGGGCCAGGGTTGGAGGAAAGAAGGTAGGACCTTTTGAGTTGTGTATTTTCAAAATCTGCCGGCCTTTTTGCAAATCCCATACCCTACCTTTAAAGGGTTAGTTCACCCAAAAATGAAAATTCTGTTAGTAATTACTCACCCTCATGTTGTTCCAACCCCGTAAGACTTTCGTTCATTTTCGGAACAGTGTCAATCAGTGACTACAGTGGCTCAATCTTAAAGTAACAACAGATAACTTTTGCTCTCGGGGTCCCCCTACAGTTGGGAAACAGTATTGTCCTCTACTACTGTCGTAAACTCTGTCATCCTACATGCACGTGCAATTGTTGACAACCATGATAGCCCTGAACACTGTAGGAGGAGGTCACATGCAGGTGTTCTGCTTGCGTCACGTGTGAAATGTCTTCATCCCAGGTACAGTGGCATATATTTCAGCATGTCATATGAATATAATTTCATGGGTTTTATTTTTTTTCTAACGACAAATGATCGCGATGCTCACGTTTACAAGCCAGCGTCATTATAGTAGCCTAGTCTATTGGTTACCGTTTGACTAAATCTATATGATACTTCAATGCAATGTTTGAGTGGTTGATAATAACCATATATCGTCAATATTATAATATCAAGCTACCATAAATGAATCTGCAAATTTTACAAATCGATTTGCATTATAGCTTGAGGCAAGACAAATAAACAAATATCACAGACATGTTAGGTATCCTAAAATATGATTTTATTAATAATCTTCCTCCTTTCTTTGTACATGTTGAGTAGACTACACTTTTTAGGTCAAACATTTGCTATTTGCATTTCATCGATTGCAAAGTTCAAATCAGAACGAGAATACTAGCGATAGCTAACCATCAAAAACTAGAATATCGTTTACTAGCTACCAGATTGATAATTCGCTACTACTCTAGCGAATTAGAGAGGTTAGAGAGAGGCATTCTTTTTTCGATGGGGGGTTTGATGCTCCCTGCACACGCAAGGTCTCTCGCTCGCTTTCTCTCTCTGCCGTCCGCGCGCGTTGGAGCACAGTCTCTGTCTCGCGTGCGCGCTCGCTCTAGATTCCGGGAGATTTTAACTAATTTGCGGTATAACTTGTCGATCACGAGTGGCTCAACAGGTAGAGATCTATAGATAAACTCATCTTTCAGGCATTTGACCGACCGGGTTGACAATTTAGCGTGAGAAACCGGGGGTGTGGCGTGTGAGCGTGTGAAACCAATCAAATGCGGGTGTCTCACGGCCAATGCGTGAGAGTTGGCAGCTCTGCAATGTTGATCCTCGTTCTGCCTTTAACGCGATCACTTTCTCTTTTTCTCTTTTTGCTTTGCTCCGATAAAACCTTTGCTTTCTTGTTTTTCTGTGCTGCTTCGGCCATGACTATAACAATTGGCTCGCAAGTCCGATTTTAAGGAAGTGGGGGTGGTGGTGGAAGTGACGTATATGCCGTAAAGCAGTCGAATTTTGTAGTTCTCTTTGTTCGCCGGTTACTACCCGAAACCCGAAGTTTAAAAGTACGATTAAAAACGCTACAGACCCCGTCAGGCTATGGCAGACGTGTCATTCAACCTATTGTAAGTCGATGTACCATCACAAGAGACTTGGAAATATATTATGAAGGTTGAAAAGTTACCTGTTGTTACTTTAAGTTTATCAAGCGACGAGAATACTTTTTGTGCGCAAAAAACAAACATAAAGAACGACTTTATTCAACTACTCTGTAAGGCCGTGATATTTCACGTAGTGAAACTACGCAAAGCTTCTAGGTTGCACGTCACACGTAGGCTCACTATTGGCCGACGCTGGTCATGTGTGTGATGCGTGACGTACAACCTAGAAGCTTTGCGTAGTTTCACTACGTGAAATATCACGGCCGTACAGAGAAGGAGATGAATATTTGAATAATGTCGTCATTTTTGTTTGTTTTTTGCGCACAAAAAGTATTCTCGTCGCTTGATAAACTTAAGGTTGAGCCACTGTAGTCACTCGGACTATTTTAACGATGTCTTTCATAACTTTTGGGCCGGCCAGTTTTAATCCCTTAAGAAGCCTATGGAGGAGTGAGACAGCTCTCAGATTTAATCAAAAATATCTTAATTCGTGTTCCGAAGATTAACGAAGGTCTTACGGGGTTGGAACAACATGAGGGTGAGTAATTAATGACAGAATTTTCATTTTTGGGTGAACTAACCCTTTAAGAAAACACATTATCATTTAAAGGTTTATTTTTATTCAAAAGTGGCATCCTCACGCTATAACAGGGACCTAAAATATTTATTTCAAGTGCTCCCTGTGATTTAAGTTAATATTTCTGTTATTTAAATGTATAAACTACGTAACTTTTGTCCCTCTAGTGGTTAAACAAAACTGCATGTATTTTGTGGAAGAACATTGTTTTGGTTGTGCTTCGGCTCTGCGTGACTGTTCGAAATAATATGACCCTTCACAATATCTGTTCAATAAAATACCTTACTCACCTGTCGAGTAATAAAAACGCCATCTCCGCGTGGCTTTTACAACATTTCAAATCCCTCAGTTCTCGTCATCTTCAAAAAGTCAATGTTGATTCTGGTTTTTTTACGAGCTCGGTCACCTTCTCTTTTTTGCAAGCAGAAGCTCCTCTGTTCTGTGTTTTTTTTTTTTTTTTTTTTTACTTCTACTTCTGGAATCAAAAAATAAATCGTGGTGCATTAATTTAATATATATCAATAGTATGTCAAATAGTGTGTTGGGGAGCATTCAAGTCAAAAGGCTGAGAACTGCTGCACCTCATGGTGCTTTATGGAAGATGAAATTTATAGATATAAAAAATATATATATAATCCTTTTCAATTTTCAACTCTGTACAAAACAAAATCTTTGTAACAGGATTGACATTTTAAAAAGGATTTATTTACTTGCAGAGTTCACTTCCTGCCATTTTTCATGTTTTTAAAATAGTACATTTCGTATAATAACCTTATAATGACAGATTATATACTGTAGTTTTTGGAGTGCTCATAAAAGCATGAAATGGACTTTTCTCCACCTGCTGCCTTTTGACATCACAGCTGATGGTGGTGAAGCGACTGTGTGTGTTATTGTGGTGTTGTCAGTCAATCACTTTCCTGCGGCTCTAGAGTCATTAATCACATGCCATTTACGGCTCAGGTGATTGGCTCAAAGCAACCTGGTTGCAGAAGTGAGCAAAATGCACATACTTCCAGGTTTTCTCTACCCAACTGCCTGAGATGAATGTGAATGCTAATGGATAATGGATAATGGATGAAAGATGACATGGTTACACTAAGTAAGACCCAACTCTGGTTAACAGGGATGAGTGATCTGCACTCGCTTATACATGAGCGCAATGCAAGAAAATCCATCAAATTGTTCTGATAAATTCAATGCCTGTTACTTTGTTCTCCCTGATCACATCCAATTTGCTGCTACTTTAATCATTCCAGCAGAGAGCAATGTGTAGATTGAGATACTCTGGGAGTCTGTCTTAAATCTGAATGACATTCACGTATAGTGTCTCTCTGCAAATTCACCTCAAGCTTCCTATTTCCTTACCTCTCATCCATCCATCTCTGGGGTGTAATCTGTCAAGATCACTCGAATGAAATGAAATCTGTTGTGCCGTATCAGACGGGCGTTCCCTGCTCCTCTCCGCATGCTTGGTGGAATCTACAGAAGCACGGCTGCTGGAACGGGATGTCCTGGCATCGCGGGTTCGAGAGGTGGAGGAAGAGAACCGGCAGATCCGACTCCAGCTGAGCCAATCGCAGGGCCTGGCTGCCCAGCCTGCCGAGGGTAACTATGGCAACCAGCAGTGGGTGGCATCGGCAGACACCGGTCCAGAGGACGTGGAGAACACAGCAGAGGAACGGGCCAATCACAGCGAGTGTTCTCGCTCGCCCACCGCGGAGAAGTGTGAGGTTAGATGGCATATTACATCCTGTCAGATGTGAGAATAAATAAAGGAACATACGGCGGCCCCAAAAAGTATTTCGACACTTGCGTGAGACAAAAAAAAAAGAAACGTAAACAAAGGAATTTTCAAGCAAAAGCAGGTTTGATAAGTTGAAATATGGCCCTAAATGAAGAGATTTCATATATCGAATTAAATATCACCTCAACACCAATTGGTTAAAACTAATAGAAAAAAAGGATCAAAAAAAGTAAAGTTAGTTCTGGCATCATCATGGTAGTTTGATGTTTTGTATTTATTGCAATTTATAGTGTGGCATAATGTGTCCAGATTCTTTCTGGAGGGGCCGCAGCATATTAGAAGCTGTTTAAAGTCTACACAGACCACATAATGCATCTCAAGAAAACCTTAACAATGCTGAAATTCTTCAATCCAATCTGAAACGTTGGCTCTTCTCTTCACGCACAGCTGATTCACGTGGCATGTGTATGTGCGGGTCACAACGCCAGTCGGGACGTGGTCACTCTGGTCAAATCCATCCTGTTCCACAGGTAAGAAACAAGGACAGCGATATTAATAGTAAATACATGGTATATTGTGTGGTAAAAGAGTTATGTTGTGCATATGCAGTATTAAAGAACAACAACTGGGATTTAGCTATTCTCCTGTAGATTTTATAATTTTATTTAACATGTATTCAGTTGGCCTGAAATTAAATGTCACAGTTTCACTGTTTAAGCCATAAATACTGTGAAGTACACATATTGTCACATATTTTGTCTGTAAAGTTCATATATTGTCACACCACAGGATCATTCGGTTTCACTTCAACACATTCTGTGGACTATAAGTAATGTACTACATGTCTACTAATTCTCATTAGAGTGTTAGTAGAGTATTAGTAGACTGGTAGGGTTCTGGTAAGTTGACATGTAGTTGCAAAGTATCTTATAGTCAGAATGTCTGTTGGAGGACATTCAAAATAAAGAGTTATCAGATGTTAAGCAGACCCTCTACTTATAAACTAATGAGAGTTAGCTGACATGCAGTTTCAAAGTTGCTTATTTTCAACAGAATGTTCAAAAGGGACCATCAAAATAAAGTGTTACCAGACAAAATATCATCAAAAATGGTGAAAACTTAAAAACAAAAAATGGTGACCATTTACTGCACCTAAAATATAGACTTTACCTTATGCATTCAAATAAAACTTAACATGTCAACATCTCCCTTTTCAGGAGAAACCCACTGCACTTTCATTTCATCACAGACACAGTGGCCAATCAGATCCTCAGCACTCTGTTCCAGTCATGGATGGTACCGTCCGTACAAGTCAGCTTCTATGACGCTGATGAACTCAAAGTAAGGACCTGCCTCATAATGCTCCCATGACACCCCTGCCAGTAGCCACCCTTGCCCTTTGACCCAGAGATAATGACCATGTCACAGAGCATCAGTACAGAGTCATGAGTAGCGATAGTTTTGATCCGAAGCAGGCGGCGAATGACAAGTCTGAAGAATTATGCCGATCACAATCCTCCATGAGCTCATTCAGGCACAAACAACTGGAATGAAATACGTGTCACATGTGCTTATGGATTGTAATGAGGGGGCAAAGGTCCCCTTGGGACAGTACGGCATGTCTGTGATAGGGGAAACATTGAGCTTGTTGTTTACACTCCAGCGATCTCAGGAGCTTTCACTCTCTGAGAACTCTTGCACGCTCCAGAGGGAGTCGAAAGCATAGAATTATTCATTTCTGTTCATATATTTAAACTGACAGTGTGACTCTTTTTTCTACGACTTGGCATGCAAGTGCTTCCTTTGCTGTGGCGTTGAATTATTCACTGTCTGTTTGTGATTTTTTTTTTTTTTTATGCAGTGCACGTTACGCTGAAAGAGCGAAGTGACAATCAAAGAGCTTGCCTCCTCTTCACACACATGTGCGCGCACATATTCTAGGAGAGCGCATTCTAGTTTACATTACACTGCACACTCAAGGACACTCACATGAATGGATACACACACTCACATGCACAATAACACGAACACGGCCTTTCTTGTCCTGTTTTGTGCTTTCGTTCTCCTCCCGGACTGAGTTCACCTCTGATTGTCAGCTGTTTGGCTCGGAGCCGTCTCTAATCACGCGGATTTTACATCCTGTGTCTCTGCTGTGCATAGAGACCTCTTTGCTCTCCTGAGTATATGAAAGCTAAGCTGCAGGAAATCTAGTCTTTTTCAATCAACCCCTCTCCGGCAGATTATTATTAAACCTGAGCTCAGGTCATTAAGGATGTATGCTGAAAAGATGAAGCACACAATAAGAACTGTAGAGGGTTATTTCCACGAGTGCAGATGATGCTATAACCGCAGAATACAGTTCAGAGGAAAACATGGAGCAGACAATGAGCTCTAGTGGGTGATGGTGAACACATGCAGGGTTGAGATAGAGCTGGTTGATTTTATTGAAGTTTTCAGTAAAGAAGGTTTTGAATTCTCTAGGTAAAAAATGAATGAGAAAAATACTTTTGGGTATGAGAAAAAAAAAAGTTGGGTAGTCACTGTCATGCTCTTTTGCTGGTTTCTCACAGATGTCTCTCTCTCTCTCTCTCTCTCACATTCTCTTGCTATGAATAGTCAGAGGTGTCGTGGATACCAAACAAACACTATTCAGGAATTTATGGCCTGATGAAGCTCACTCTCACCAAAGCTCTGCCATCCAACCTTTCAAAAGTCATCGTCCTCGATACAGACATCACCTTCGCCACTGATATCGCCGAGCTGTGGGCCATCTTCCGGAAGTTCACAGGTAATCAGTCACTGTCCTTCACGAATCCTATAAAGCATCGGGACAGTGAAATTTAACCCTGATGTTGTGATTGCAGAGAAACAGGTGATTGGTCTGGTGGAGAATCAGAGTGATTGGTACCTCGGTAATCTGTGGAAAAATCACAAACCCTGGCCAGCCCTCGGGCGGGGGTTTAACACAGGTACGGACACCAGCTTCCATCTCGGCTCCGCTCATCAACCTTCACTGTGTTCCAAACAGCATAAATGTTTGCTGTCTTTGTAACTGGTTATTGACAGTGGAATTACTTCACAAACACAAATTAGTTTGATATGCGAGTCAAATAAATGAAAAAATTAAAGAGGAAAAGGGGTTAAAGGTAGGGTAGGCAATTTCAGAGAGGCTAGCAATAGCAAGCTAGCTTCGAGAGCATAAGATCCCACCCTCCCTTTCAGAGCGTCTCCAAAGCCACGCCTCCTCCAAAACACATATTATGAGGTGAAATATTATTACAATTCATTTAAAATAACTGTTTTTCTATTTTAAAAAGCTGAATTTTCAGCATCGTTACTCCAGTCTTCAGCGTCACATGATCCTTCAGAAATCACCATAATATGCTGATTCACTGCTCAATTATTAATTAATATTGGTGCTCAGTTGTAAATAACGTTTGTTATTATTATTAATGTTGAGAAGAGTTTTTGCAGCTTAATGTTTTTGTTGAAACCGGGATTCATTTGTTTCAGAATTCTTTGATGAATAGAAAGATCAAAAGAACAGTATTTATTTGAAATTAAAATCTTTTGTAACTTTCCATCAATTTAATGCTGAATATTTATTTTTAACTTTCTCATGAAGTAGCACAACATTCAACATAATAATAAGATATGTTTCTTGAGCAGCAAATCAGCATATTTGAATGATTTCTGAAGGATCATGTGACACTGAAGACTAGAGTAATGATGCTGAACATGCATCTTTGCATCACAGGAATAAATTACATTTTAAAATATATTAAAATAGTAAACCGTTATCTCAAATTGTAATAATATTTCACAATATAACTGTTTTACTGTATTTTTTATCAAATAAATGCTGCCTTGGAGAGCAGAAGAGACTTCTTTCAAAACTTTTGACTGGTAGTGTATATATAATATTTAATTAGTTAATTAATTTCTCTTTAAAGTATTTACCCCTTTTTGGAAGGGGTTATTCATCGGGTGTGATCAAGTATAAAGATCAAATTTACATACATTGAGCCTGTGTGTAGCCTTCGCAGGAATGAGCACACCGGGATGATCACTTCTAAATGGAGCACACTGCTTATGTCACATTTCATTTCAGTATAAATAAAATGGAGCATAGTTTGCACCAGGGTCCATTTGTCAACAGGTGTTTCTTTTTTGGGGCTCCAGGTGTGATTTTACTCTACCTTGAGAGACTGCGCAGGATTGGCTGGGAACAGATGTGGAGACTGACGGCAGAGAGAGAGCTAATGAGCATGCTTTCAACATCCCTGGCAGACCAGGTCCATGTCCTTCATGAACAATACAAAAACACTTCATAAGAAGGATTTATATCATAGGTCCTATGAGATTGTGCTTTGCGCAACAGTAGTCTAAATGATGATGAAACCATTGCTGAATATTGTTGTGTAATGCAACAAAAATGTTATTGTTTTATGTCTTCACAGGATATATTCAACGCGTTCATAAAGCAGAACCCGGTTCTGGTGCATCAGCTTCCGTGCTTCTGGAACGTCCAGTTATCGGATCACACTCGCTCTGAACAGTGCTACACTGAGGTGTCGGATCTAAAGGTAACTATATTGGGTGAATGTTTAGGTATTCTGGGTATAACCGACCAAACTGACCCAAAGGAATTAAGAATAACGAGTTGTTCAAAGTAAAAAGGGGCCCTGTAACTGCTTCGAGCTTTGCTTTAATCATTGCCAAATTTATTGTGTTTGTTTTACAAATTGTCTCTAATGCAAATGTTCACCCAACCGTCACATTCATTTCCTGTCAAACTTCCATTTTAGTATGGAAATTATGTCTTTGAAGTTGTTTATTGCTCAGTTTTATTACTTCCTCCTGCAGGTCATTCACTGGAACTCTCCTAAAAAGCTGAGGGTAAAAAACAAGCATGTGGAATTTTTCCGTAATCTTTACTTGACATTCCTGGAGTACGATGGGAATCTTCTCCGACGAGAACTCTTCGGCTGTCCCAGTCAAGCCAGCTCAGAGAGCACAGTGGTGAGTTACTTAAGTAGTTTGTTATGCAGTATTATGCAAATATCTTCTTTTTTTCTTTTTTGGAATAGCATGTAGATAATGTTTCTATTACCTGACAAATAGCACTGAAATCCATGATACAATTGGTATTGGACCGACATTTTAGAGTGGCCTTTTATTGTGGCCAGCCTAAGGCACACCTGTGCAATAATCATGCTGTCTAAACAGCATCTTGATATACCACACCTGTGAGGTGGATGGATTATCTCGGCAAAGGAGAAGTGCTCACTAACACAGATTTAGACAGATTTGTGAACAATATTTGAGAGAAATAGGCCTTTTGTGTACATAGAAAAAGTTTTAGATCTTTGAGTTCAGCTCATGAAAAATGGGGGCAAAAACAAAAGTGTTGCGTTTATAATTTTGTGCAGTATATTTTACAGACCGATCGGTGTATGACATCGAAACCATACAAGCTTTATTTACGAAATAATTACGAAATGGCGTGAACACAGCAAGACAGAGCCTAGTTTATAGTAAATACTACATGGCATGAACGCGGGCTGGGTTTTAAAAAGATAGGGCGTGTCTTTAGCACCCTAAAGCAGCAGATAGCAATACTTATATCTTAAGAGAACATGAAGACTTAAAAGAAACAGAAACAAGGGATTTTATAGTCTTAAGCTGGATCATTCTTAATAAGTAATGAATCCCCATGTCTAAAAGCAGCTCGGCCTTGGATTTGGACATGGAAAAACAGTATTGTAAAGTTGCAAAGGATAACATGACCAAAGCCCGCTTGATGTTTCCTCCTCAGCACAGCTGATAAAGCGTTTTATTATCATTTCTTTTCAGCTTCAGCAAGCACTAGAGGAGCTAGATGAGGACGACCAGTGCTATGATTTTCGGAGGGAGCGAATCATGGTGCACAGGGTGCATCTGTACTTCCTGCAGTATGAATACACACCTACAGATGATGGCACGGACATCACGCTGGTCGCACAGCTCTCTATGGACAGGTGAGGATGACAGACTGTCTGAACGAATCTGCAAACACATTTGGGCCACTCATGCCAATGCAATTTAATTACTGAAGTGTCATTTCGTGTTTAATGAACCCTGTGCAACACTTTGATTGAAATGAAAAAAGATTACTGCAGCATTGCAAGTTAATAACATCTTCAAAACATGTTGAACTCTCGTGTTATTTTCAGATGGACTATTAGGGTTGCTGATTTAAAAAAAAAAAGGGAATTATTCATGCCATTGATCCATACATAAATGACCCTGGACCACAAAACCAGTCACATGGGTATATTTGTGGCAATAGCCAACAATAAATTGTATGGGTCAAAATGATCGAATATTCTTTTATGCCAAAAATCATTAGGATATTAAGTAAAGATCATGTTCCATGAAGATATTTTGTAAATGTCCTACTGTAAATATATATAAAAAAATATTTTTGTGAGTGGATGCAGCAAAAGATGATTTTCTCAATGTTTAGATTTTTTTACACCCTCAGATTCCAGATTTTCAAATAGTTGTATATTGGCCAAATATCCTAACAAACCATACATCAATGGAGGCTTATTTATTTAATTTAAAAAAATTGACCCTTGTGACTGGTTTTGTAGTCCAGGGTCACATATAATAATGCAATTTAATGTAAATGTAAACAATAGAAGGAAAATATTAGAAAAAAAGGAGGCCAAAAAATATAAAAGTGTTCAGGGTATACCAAAAAAAAGTACATATAATAATTATTGATAGCATATATTGCTATTTGTGATTAATTCAATTAACCGTTTGGCATGTCATGTATTTAATTTGATAAAAAAAAAATCATTTGAGGGAAGTTTGGTTTATGTGTTAAATGTATAATAGTTAGGAAAAGAATAGTCGTTTAATGCTCCCCACTGAGCTATTTAAAACAAAGTCAAGCTTGAATCCTCTGTTTTCCCATAAAGTAGTCCTGCCACTTTCACAAAGATGATTGTTATGCAGCACAGCAAGGTTGTTTGTGTTTGAAACAAGTATCAACTGGAATTGTTTGACGTAGAGAAGATCAGAACATACCATGCTAATAGCGAAAGCTTGCCCTGCAGGCTTGAAAAGTGTATCAAAAGAGCCTCTAATCTTGCCTCACTTTCGAAATTTGCCCAACTGCCCAAAATTTCACCAGAGACACCTTGTATTTGTCCACAGACTGCAGATGTTGGAGGCGATCTGTAAACACTGGGAAGGCCCCATTAGTTTGGCCCTCTACATGTCTGATGCCGAGGCTCAGCAGTTCCTGCGCTACGCTCAGGCGTCTGAAGTCCTCAAAAACCGCAAGAACGTGGGCTATCATATCGTTTACAAGGAGGGTCAGTTCTACCCTGTCAATCTGGTACGCAATGTGGCGCTCCACAATGTCAACACACCCTACGTTTTTCTGACTGATGTAGATTTTCTGCCCATGTACGGCCTCTACGATTACCTCAGGTAAGACTCAGGGCTGTCAGTTTGTTAGGGATAATCTTTTAATATAATGGGTACATTTCTGTTAATCATCTGTTTTTATTTTTGTACTTTTCCCACGTAGAAGAAGCATAGTCCAACTGGACATGGCCAATACCAAGAAGGCTCTGGTTGTGCCGGCCTTTGAGACGTTGAGATATCGCCTTTCCTTCCCTAAATCCAAGGCCGAGCTGCTGTCTATGCTGGACATGGGGACTCTCTACACCTTCAGGTAGCATTCAAAATAATCATATCTCAAGGAAGTTCATAATTAATATTAGGGTCGATATATAAACTACCGGTGTATAAACCTATTCCCATTAGACACGATACTTGAAAATAAATTCCAGCACAGCGCTACACCAACTATAATGAAATGACCCTTCACAATAGATAATGCTTTCTTATGAACTCTGTTAGAGAGCTACATATGGTAATTTATCTGTTCAATAAAATACCTTACTCACCCTTTGAGTAATAAAAACGCCATCTCCGCATCAGTTTTACATTTTAAATCCCTCACCATCTCCGAAAGGCCAATGTAGATTCTTGTTTTATTACGAGCTCAGTCACCTTCTCTTTGCAAGCAGAAGCTCCTCTGTTCTGCGTTTTTTTTTTTTTTTTTTTTTTTTTTTTTAAGGTGATTTTCTTACACATTGAGTGTACATAGCTTAATAGTTTCAAAATATTCATAAATACTAGTTTTTGGGCAGTCATACCATATGACATTTTTCAACCTGTTCTAACTTCGCTTTGTCATTTAAAGGTCAACTTATCTGATATTTTAAAAGACTTATCCAGTGGAACACTTAATCAGTGTTGAATTTAAAAAAATAAATAATTAATGATTATGATAAACACCTTAAGATTTGACTTGCTTCTTTAATTGGGCTTTTTTCTTGATTATAATATCGGGACTGTATCACTCCAAAAATATCAAAATGAATTTTAATCCAAAAATTAAAATTAGGAGAATAGCAGGAACGGCTAATCATTAAAATGTAAGTAAAATAAATATTTTTTTTTTAAATAAAACAACCAAAAATGAAACACTTTATATAAATTTTTTTTTACCTGCGTGTCATGTGACCATCAGCCACAAAACCATGAACATGTGAATGTATTGTTCAATTATTTCAATAGTAATTGAAAATCTTCAAGTACATTTTTTTAGATCAATGGGGTTCATCCGACAAAAAAAAAAAGTTTGTGAATCCCTGTTATAGATGATGATGTATGAAGATGATTAATTCTGAATGAATTAATAGGCCAAAAACGTGAGCACCACATCATTGGCCTGTTTTTAAAAGACCACGCATAATAGCTCATGCATTAGCACTAGGGGTGGAACGGTACACAGAAGTCACGGTTCGGTTCATACATCACGGTTCGGTACGATTTCGGTACAATGGAGTGAATAGCAAAACAAAAATGCAGAAGGCTTTTTTATAAATGTCTTAAGCCTTGTATTTTTTATATACGTTTTATTAATAAAGGCATAGAACCAGTTTATTTGTAGTGCAGTAGTTTTATATAATTAGTTTATTAATTAAATTATTAAAAAGACGAAAAGACCATGAGATATGTTTGGTAATTGTACCTGAATGAATTTAAAATTAATTTGCTATTTCAGATCAATATATTTGTTTTCCTTCATTTTAATTAACCCTAACTTTATTCTCATCTGAATGATAAATAATTGATTTCCGTATAAAATAATACTACCATTAAAAACTTTTGTTAACAGTTGTAGGTTACAGTTTGACATCAGTTTAGAGTGTGACAAAAGCACAATGTTGTGTTTTATTGCGAGTGTACACAAATATAAGTAAACAATTTGCCGTTTTAATGATGTTCTGTATGAAAAAAATGACGGAGTATGTTTTTATGTTTCCACTGTTCGATCGCCCGTGCCTCTCTCACACACACACTGTTCGATCGTGCGATTCGCGCCCGCGCCTCTCTCTCTCTCTCTCGCGCGCGCACGCACACACACACACTCTGTTCGATCGCGCGATTCGCGCCCGCGCCTCTCTCTGTCTCTCTCTCGCACACACACACACACTGTTCGATCGCGCGATTCGCACCCGCGCCTCTCTCTGTCTCTCTCTCTCTCGCACACACACACACACTCCAGCATTGCAATCTTGATCGCAGCCTGTTCATTGCTGCGTTCACAGTCACACCAAAAGCGAATAGAGCGAAATTTATCGCTATTTAAGAGGTTTTTTTATTCGTACCGTGTATTCTCTGTGCAAATTCTTGCACCGAACCGTGACGCCCGTACCGTTTCGGTTCAATACGAATACATGTACCGTTCCACCCCTAATTAGCACTAGTTCATGCCTGTATTACTTTCCTGAAATGTAGGTATCATGTCTGGACAAAGGGTCATGCTCCAACCAATTACGCCAAATGGAGGACAGCCACAACGCCATACAAGGTGGAATGGGAGGCAGACTTTGAGCCGTACGTCGTCGTGCGACGAGACTGTCCTGAGTACGACCAGAGATTCGTTGGCTTTGGCTGGAACAAAGTATCCCATATCATGGAGCTTGATGCTCAGGTAAGGTTTTAAAAAAAATTGGCGTGTTTCTTCCCCCAGTTCAAGTGTCCGGTGTCCCTAACCTGTCGCATTTCCTTGTTCCACAGGAGTATGATCTTATTGTGTTACCAAATGCCTTCATGATCCACATGCCCCACGCGCCCAGCTTTGACATCTCAAAGTTTCGCTCCAGTCCGAGTTACCGCTACTGCTTGACGACTCTGAAGGACGAGTTCCACCAAGACCTTTCTCGAAAGTACGGATCTGCTGCCCTCAAGTACCTCACAGCACAGAGGAACATCTGAAACCTGTCCTTTAGCACACAGGAGAATGGCTTGGTCTAGTCGTTTGAGGCTCAACAGCCAACATGCTGCCCTGATACATGTTACGGTGTGAAGAGGTACGAAGCTGCCCTGCTAAAATCAGAGCTTTAATCTTCTTTTTGATAAGTTATACAGCAGAGAACTGTGAAAACCAATGACATCAGCACCACAACCATCTCAGACTGGTGGCGAAAACTCGACCAAACATTTCAACTGCTAAAAAGCGCGAAAGGACACCGGTATACGTTTGTGACGACTCTTATAGTCTAAAATGAACGTCATTATAGAGACCTTTTTTGACAATCAGGGCTTTTTCTTCACTAAAGATCTCCGGCTAGTGATTCATGGCGCTACGCAAGCTTTGGACCTGGCTAAAACCATTCGAAGAAGTATCGATGGGCCGAAAAGGACAAGAAATGAATGAGCTTTCCAAAGACTCTTCTGCTGGACTGAAGTGTGAGGAGGCCATCAAGACAAGAGGGACATTTAAGCCTTATAATTTCCTTGTTATTTAAAATATTTAAAAGTATTTTTTTGTTTGTTTTTAACGAAGACAAAACAGTTTATGAACGACGACCTACAGCCTATGTATGTTTTACAATATAAAAAAAAGAAAATCATTCTTTTTTAATTTAGAAACACTGATTTGCTTGTAGCGAAAGAAGCTTGAATGCTTGATAAGGGAGTATTCTGTGTGGTTTCGAATGTTAGTCATTTATGATTCTGCTGAGAAATGATCAGAGCGTTATAACTGCTGCATTTATAACAAACGGCTTAAACATCCAGTGTCATAGTGTATGCCAGGACACTTTCTTGCTCTGAACTCACACCACGTTCTTCACTTTTAAAAGTTTGCACTACATACTGTTACTCAAAAATGACATTATCAACTATGATTATATGATAAATGATTATATGTACGTTTGCATTGAGATCCACTTAAGGGACCATAAAAAAACAGAGCATCCAAGTTTCTAAAGGACTAAATATTTGTTGTCGGTGATATAAAACACGTCCTGTCATTGAAAGCGATATTTATTGTGTGAAATGTCAGTCACGTTCTGGTCAGTCCTGAAATAATAATCCAATGTCCAATTCAACATCAGTCACTCAAGTTTTAAAGAAAAAATAACATTGGAAACCTGACAAGAAAGTTTGTATGATCTATTGTACCAGTGGCTGCTGTCGCAATGTTGTGTTCCATCTTTATAAAGTAACGCTCCTCCGGGTCATATTGAGTTCACCCCTCACATGCCCTTCCGCTCCATCAGACTGCAGATTTACGGTAAATACCCGTGCCTTTGCTGTGTTGCGAAAACTGGATATTGATTGTACTACTGTACGCATCAGCGGGGCCTGCAAGAAAACAGGTACTCTATTTATTATTGTTGACTTAAATCAATCATATTTTTCTATGTAGGGGACAAAGTGCTTTAAATAAATTCTCCCTGTTTCTATAGTTTGTCAAAGTTCTTGTGCTCTTTATTTTGCATTATTAGGCTGCTCTGTGGTTTTCACTGAAAGTTCCAGTTTTGAGTTGGTAAGACTCACTGGTGACTCATAGTTAGAAGGTCTACAATACAGGACAGTGCTGATAAGAAAAAGCATTACCTCGTCTCTTTCTCCATACTAATCTCACAAAGAAATGTGTTTGTGAAAGGAAATTTCATCCAAAAAATGAAATTCTGTCATCATTAACCTTCTTTTGTTCTTGTCTGTGCAACACAAAAGGGATTTTTTTTTTTTTTTTTTTTGAAGAATCTTCACACAGCTCTTTTTTATCCAACAACGGTTCATGGACCTGGGGACTCGTTTATAAAAGGTTGCGTAGGAACCGTCCTACATTTGATCTAAGATCATTTCTCAAATGTGCATACTCGTGATTCAAAGAAAACTAACACACGCACAAAAAAGTGCGTACACCCCTCTTCCAGATGTCAAATCTATTTCTGCATTATAGGCCATTTTATAGCTACACTCTAAAAAATGGTGGGTTGTTTCAACCCAAATTTGGGTCAAATATGGACAAACCCAAATGTTAGGCTAAAAATGTAATTTAAAATTTTAACCCAACTTCAACTTTCACTTTCAACTGTAAATTTTTTAATTACATTTTTAACCCAACATTTGGGTTTGTCCATATTTGACCCAAATTTGGGTTGAAACAACCCAGCATTTTTTAGAGTGTAACAAGCTAAAGTGCGTACGCCTGCTTAGAATCTGACATGGCATTAAGACCATTTTTATAAACCTGAACGTTGGCGTGGATTTTAGCGTACGCACGTTTTATAAACGAGGGCCCAGATCTGTGAATTTCCTAAACAAACATAAAAAAAAGAATGGTGCGTAATTGTATTGAATGTGCACTTAAAATCTAGTGCTTAAAATGTTAAAAGTATATAAAAAAGATAATATATACAAGTCTGGAATCATAATAAATAAAGTGGAAATAAAAAGGCCACTTAAAGGTGCCATGTGGAATGTCTGCCAAAAAATAAATTCATACTCCACATATTCCATACCAAATGGGGGCAGTATACCTCCAGAAAGTTGGCCTACTCTAGTCTGTTTTTTAGTTTCGGGTTGTTAATCTTCTAAAACCGTCAAATCGTCCGCTTTGTCCCGCCAAAGCCTATTTTGATCGGTGAGTGATGTAGAATATAATGACTGCTGCGCTTGACAGGGCTTATAACGAGCAGAGAGAGAGAGAGCGCCCCGGCCGCGCGCGCGCACTCTCACGTCTTCAAACAACACGAGCGCAGTCCTCCTGCTCTCTCTCTCCCTCGCGCATACTAATCAAATCAATTGACACGATAGTAAGACCGCAGTTAATTTGGAGATTTTTAGAGATTAGAGACTCAATGAACAACATCTCAACACTAAATTATAAAGGCCGGTCTCATTTAGACGCGATTGACATCAGGTTCAAGTACGCCCACAAGCCGTGCGAGTTATTCGTGTACTGCAGTTGGGCTGGTGGTTATGTATGTTGCCCGCATACCGCCTCCCATGGCCGAAACTGGTATTACGACACCAGTCGGGCCGGCGCTAGTAATTTAGCATGCTAATTTAGGTTTATATCTCGGCAGCACTATAACTTGTCAATTTTTTAATGACATCATTGCACTTATTTCTTCTCATTCTTTTGATGCGTGTAGCTTATTTTTTGGATAATTTTACCTCAATTTTTACATAGGGCACCTTTAAGTGCACTTTGTAATGACGTCAATTTAAAAGTTTTACTAATTAAAGCACACCTGGTAATGATTATAATTTCAACTGTAGTGTGTTTTTTAATAACATTTAAAGTTCATACATTTTAAGTACTAAATTGCAACAATTTTTTTCAATATAAATGCGTAACAAATATATTTAAATGCATGACATGCAAATTTATTATTATATTTCATTTACCATAAATTCTTGCCAGTACATCCAGCAGTAGAAGTTGCCAACTTAACACTCTAAACAATGCTGGGTTGTTTTAACCCAAATTTGGGTAAAATATGGACAAACCCAAATGTTGGGTTAAAAATGTCATTTCAAATTTTAACCCAACTTCAACTTTCACTTTCAACTGTAATTTTTTTCATTGCATTTTTAACCCAACATTTGGGTTTGTCCATATTTTACCCAAATTTGGGTTAAAACAACCCAGCATTTTTTAGAGTGTGAGTAAAAAAAAACTACATTTGTATTAAATGCAATTAGCTGAACTTACGTGCAGGAAAAAATAGAGAAAAATGAAGTGGCTGGAGATGCAGCAGTGCATTAAAAATAGAAACAGTTTTACGGTTACACTTTCACCTTCAGCGGTTGGATATGGCCCCTGGACTGGTATTTTAAGACCCCTTCTTTAGATATTACAGGCTTGTTATTACTGTTGACTGCAAATGACTTGAGCCAATCCATCTGTTAGTGGCAAGAGGCTGAAGCTGATCAATTGTTTTCCAAATGGATCTGACTCGTGTTAAAACAAAGTTAATTCCGGCAATTTCAAGAGAGAGACTGCAGTAACCGGAGCCGTGAGAGCGAGCGAGAGCTGTTTCCTGCACTGTGTGGGCTAATGCATGTGTAATTGCCTGAAGTGGCCCTTTATGACATCATGAATCAGAAACTATTGCACACAGTGAAAAAGTTTCAAGCAGCTTTTTCAGCATTCATTCACTCTACCCAGCAGCACATTACAGCAGAGGGCATGCAGGGGAACTCTGCTCTCAGCGTGTGAGCGGTGCGGCTCAGGACGCCCCAGCAACAATCTAGTAAATGGACTCACATCAGGAAACATGCTCAAGCTTGAATAATTCATTAGATGCAAGACAGCGGCAAGTAAAAGGCTGATTCCAGGAGTCCCAGATAAGTCTCTGTTCTTCCAACTTGGGACATTTCATTTCATTTCATTTAATCTAGTTTCATGTCCACACTCATGACATGGCAGAAGGAAATAAGAAAACTTTCACATGTGCATTGTTAGGAAATCAGGTCACTGTCACGACTGGCAGACCAAGCTTGCACTTTCTCATTAGTAACTGCTAGGGCATCAGTTCCTCTGTGGCTTTCCCCCTTCATAATGAAACGGACGTTTCTTTGGGAATTTGGCTTAATGAATTGTAACTATAATTTCCTGCATTTTACATCATTATTAAGGAGAAGTGTTGGTTTTGATAAAAACAGAAAATAGAAAGAACAGAGTGACATCATCTAAAGTGACACCCTTGTGAAAAAGAAGTGCACTTTATTGTACTGAATGTGCCACTTGTGTATTTAAAGAGAGTACACTTTCATGCCTGTTTCTAATACACTCAAGTAAAAAGTGCACTTTGTAATAATGTTAAATTTAAAAAAGTACTTTAATGTACATTTTAAATCACTGTTTTAATAATCTTTTGCCAGATATAAACACATACATTTCACTGTATTTTGTTATTCAGTATTACATTCAAAGTAAACACATGTACTAAATTTCAACAGCATCATAAATATGTGTTATCAAATTTAAATACATGACATAAGTTTCAACAGAAATGACGCAAACCTCAACTGTGCGCACGCATCAGTGGAACCAGACGATAGGGTTACATGTTTCCCGGCTTGACTGTTAAAAGCAGACGATTGGCTTTCCAGCGGGAGGGGCGGGGCATGTGCATACAACCGCCATCTTTGGCGTTACGGGTTTTCCCTATATAGTTGTATTGAGGATTGAGGAAGTGGCATGTCTCTATATAAATTGTCTCTGACGAAAGTCTTATGAGTTTGGAAAGACATGATGGTGAGTAATTAATGACAGAATTTACATTTTTGAGGAAACTATCTCTTTTACCATATTTCAAATGCTAAGATGTAATTAATCCGCATTTAAGTGGGTCAAAAAAGCTCTATTAAGTTTGACTAATTGCATTTAATAAGAATTTGAACTTAATACATTTTCATTTAATTGCAAATAAAATGCAATTAGGTGTCCGAAAACATTACATTCAAATGAAAGTTCTCGTAAATGGTGTCACCACCTAAATCGATGAATTTGTATCGTGCGAGTCAAACAGAAGGAAGTAATTCCTTCAGATAGTCTCACACAGATCAATACCAATAGCCTACTGCACCATTTATTATCTCTTAAGTTAATGACAGGAATCAAAACACTCTAGATGTTGGCTCTTAATATCTTCTCATCTCTACAG